GATGACGGTGATGATTTAGTAGGCACCTGCTACATTCTAGACAGCGCTAAACCCTTTCCATGTATCTCATTTAATGCCAACAACCCCATCACTCTCCCCGATGAGACAACGGAGTCTTGAGAATTTGCTCGACATCACACATGACTGGCCGAACCAGAATTTAAACCTGAGTTTGGAAGACTCGGAGCCCACACTGCTCTCCCAAAGGATGGCAGTGTGTCTGAGACATCATCAAGGAATCTGGCATGATTTTAGACCTTACATTTTCAGGAGTTTTGTTTTCCTAGTTATCAATGAGCGTTTGCATCAGACCATGTGAGGCATGACTGTTGGAGAGCCGGACCAACCCCAGAAAACATTTGCAAATATCATTTTTTGGACAAAACTAATTATAAAACATGAGGTTCCTAAATTAGACAGTTGCATTTTATTTTGTTGTGTCTATCTGATGAGATATTTTCTTTTCTTTCTTTTTTTTTAAAGATTTTATTTATTTATTTGACAGACAGAGATCACAAGTAGGCAGAGCAGCAGAGAGAGAGAGAGAGGAAGGGAAGCAGGCTCCCTGCTGAGCAGAGAGCCCGATGCTGGGCTTGATCCCAGGACCCTGAGATCATGACCCAAGCTGAAGGCAGAGGCTTAACCCACTGAGCCACCTGGCGCCCCCTGATGAGATATTTTCTATGTTCCAATGCCTTTTTAAAAAATTAAGCTTTTGGGTGTTGAGTTTGCTAAGTTCTTTATAGATTTTGGACACTAGCCCTTTATCTGATATGTAGTTTGCAAATATCTTCTCCCATTCTGTCAGTTGTCTTTTGGTTTTGTTAACTGTTTTCTTTGCTGTGCAAAAGCTTTTGATCTTGATAAAAATCCCAATAGTTCAGTTTTGCCCTTGCTTCCCTTGCCTTTGGCAATGTTCCTAGGAAGATGTTGCTGTGGCTGAGGTCGAAGAGCTTGCTGCCTGTGTTCTCCTCAAGGATTTTGATGGATTCCTTTCTCACATTGAGGTCCTTCATCCATTTGGAGTCTATTTCTGTGTGTGGTGTAAGGAAATGGTCCAATTTCATTTTTCTGCATGTGGCTGTCCAATTTTCCCAACACCATTTATTGAAGAGGCTGTCTTTTTTTCCATTGGACATTCTTTCCTGCTTTGTTGAAGATTAGTTGACCATAGAGTTGAGGGTCTATTTCTGGGCTCTCTATTCTGTTCCATTGATCTATGTGTCTGTTTTTGTGCCAGTACCATGCTGTCTTGATGATGACAGCTTTGCAATAGAGCTTGAAGTCTGGAATTGTGATGCCACCAACTTTGGCTTTCTTTTTCAATATTCCTTTGGCTATTCGAGGTCTTTTCTGGTTCCATATAAATTTTAGAATTATTTGTTCCATTTCTTTGAAAAAAATGGATGGTATTTTGATAGGAATTGCATTAAATGTGTAGATTGCTTTAGGTAGCATAGACATTTTCACAATATTTATTCTTCCAATCCGGGAGCATGGAACATTTTTCCATTTCTTTGTGTCTTCCTCAATTTCTTTCATGAGTACTTTATAGTTTTCTGAGTATAGATTCTTAGCCTCTTTGGTTAGGTTTATTCCTAGGTATCTTATAGTTTTGGGTGCAATTGTAAATGGGATTGACTCCTTAATTTCTCTTTCTTCTGTCTTGTTGGTGTAGAGAAATGCAACTGATTTCTGTGCATTGATTTTATATCCTGACACTTTACTGAATTCCTGCACAAGTTCTAGCAGTTTTGGAGTGGAGTCTTTTGGGTTTTCCACATATAGTATCATGTCATCTGCTAAGAGTGATAGTTTGACTTCTTCTTTGATGATTTGGATGCCTTTAATTTCCTTTTGTTGTCTGATTGCTGAGGCTAGGACTTCTAGTTCTATGTTGAATAGCAGTGGTGATAATGGACATCCCTGCCGTGTTCCTGACCTTAGCGGAAAAGCTTTCAGTTTTTCTCCATTGAGAATGATATTTGCTGTGGGTTTTTCATAGATGGCTTTGATAATATTGAGGTGTGTGCCCTCTATCCCTACACTTTGAAGAGTTTTGATCAGGAAGGGATGCTGTACTTTGTCAAATGCTGACAGATGCTGGCGAGGATGCGGAGAAAGGGGAACCCTCCTACACTGTTGGTGGGAATGCAAGCTGGTGCAACCACTCTGGAAAACAGCATGGAGGTTCCTCAAAATGTTGAAAATAGAACTACCCTACGACCCAGCAATTGTACTACTGGGTATTTACCCTAAAGATACAAACGTAGTGGTCCGAAGGGGCACGTGCACCCGAATGTTTATAGCAGCAATGTCCACAATAGCCAAACTATGGAAAGAACCTAGATGTCCATCAACAGATGAATGGATAAAGAAGATGTGGTATATATACACAATGGAATACTATGCAGCCATCAGAAGAAATGAAATCTTGCCATTTGCGACGACGTGGCTGGAACTAGAGGGTATCATGCTTAGTGAAATAAGTCAATCAGAGAAAGACAACTATCATATGATCTCCCTGATATGAGGAAGTGGAGATACAACATGGGGGGTTAAGGGGGTAGGAGAAGAATAAATGAAACAAGATGGGATTGGGAGGGAGACAAACCATAAGTGCCTCTTAATCACACAAAACAAACTGAGGGTTGCTGGGGGGAGGGGGGTTGGGAGAAGGGGGTTGGGGTTATGGACATTGGGGAGGGTATGTGCTATGGTGAGTGCTGTGAAGTGTGTAAACCTGGTGATTCACAGACCTGTACCCCTGGGGATAAAATTATATGTTATAATAAATTAAAAAAAAAAGAATGGAAACAGCATGAAAAAAGAAATTAAGCTTTTAATTGAAATTCCAGTAGAGTTAACATGCAGCATTATAGGAGTTTCAGGTGCGAGAGACAGTGAATTGTACGAGTGCCTTTTCAGACGTAGTCTGCATGTGGGATCTCATAGCCATTCATTCCAGACTCTGCTCCCACTCATTGCTGGCCTTGCAGGAGGTCTGTATGAGCCTGGAGTGGGGGTGTCAGCCCATTTCCAAAGAAAACTCACTGAAGGCCTCATCGGTAACAGAGGAACATCCTTTTGACCCTCCAGCAGCAGACAGAATTCTTGGCCTCGGTGAAGGACTGGGCTTGGGGAGAGGGGGTCTCTGAGCGGTGGGGTATAGGGCCTTGCAGGGGTGAGTGTGGGGAGTCAATGCCTTTTTTCCCACTGTCTATCTTCTTGTGGGGTCTTCTTATTTCCCCATGGCTTTTAGTTGTTATGTGTTCATTTTTTCCCTGCCATTCTGAAAATATCCTTCTAGAAAGATCCTACGGAGGGATGGCTGAGGTCAGCTAACTGGATTTGCCCCAAGGAAGAGCTGCCTCAGAGGTGAAGATGTCAGAGTAGCCACTCCTTGTCACGAGGATACTCCTCTGTTATCTCTTCTTCAATCTTTCTGGGTTTTCCCCCTGTACTCTTAGGCGAGTGAGGCAGAAAGGAAAAGATGTTCTCTCCACATCTATTTCAAGCCTCCTGTGTGATTTGGGCTATTGTATCGTGGTTCCCTGAGGTGGGGTACCATTTGCTGCGGTGGTATAGGTGGGGAAACTGAGGCCCAGGGCATGTCCACACTCTCATGGCACCATGCTTATAATGGGGGGCCAGGGTGGATGGAGACCCAGGTGTGCTCACATCAGACCTGTTCAATGACATTGAACGGGTCATGCCCTCCAGGAACTTACGGGTTAGTGTCCCGTCATGTTCCAACTGTATGTCTGAACGTTCACAGAGAAAAGAAGCCATCGTCCTTTCGGATGGAACAGTCAACAGAAGTCTGAACTAAAATGGTGTATGCACCATCCCCTTTACAGAGGAGGGTGGGATGAAGAACAAGGGTTGTGTGGCTCACACACAGAGGGTCCCCTCCTCCTGGATTTCTTGAGATGGCCAGAAGGGGAGCCAGTGTCAGGACACCAGAGCTGAGGACACTCTCGGGATGGGGCTTTCCATCCCAACGGTGGAAAGAGGAAAGGGGACAGCTCAGCTCTGTGAAGACCCAGTGAGAAATGTTCTTGTGAGGTTGTTTGGCCGTATAACTGCCGATGGCTTTTAATGTGAGATTAGGAAAACATCTCCCTCCCGTCGTATCTCCCAAACCCTAGAAGCCTCTTCTCAGAAGTGTGAGGTGATGTCCATGGGATGCAAGAGGGAGTCTGGGAGAGGCTGCGATGGCTACTGAAGGCTTTGCTTCCTTCCTCCAATTGCTCAGTGCTTGTGAAGTAATTCCTGTAAAAGCAAATACAGTTACTTTAATCGTTACTGTATACACAAGCAGTTTTGCCCGACTACCTGTGTTACATCCATTCTGTTATCCGTCCCTGCAGGTAATCTCATGCTGGTCCTCCATGGCCATTTATTTATTTATTTATTTATTTATTTATTTTCTCCATGGCCTTTTAAACAGTAATATTTTCCTCCCCCTGGTGGTGTCTAGAATTTCAGACACGGTATCTAGGAAATTATACAAAACTTCTCCAGGCCTAGACTTGAAAAAATGACTTTTAAGAAATAATATTAATAACCAGTGCTTCTTGGGCATCTATTACATGCCACGCAGAGTTCTGAGCGCCTTATTGAGAAACTCATTTAATCCTCACAACAGCCCGAGGGACGTGGGTTCTCTCCTGTCCCAGTTTTGCACGTGAAGAAACCGAGTCAGAGAGTTAAGTGCCTTGCTCAAGGTGATGTAGTTAGTAACTTTGGAGCTAAGACACCACCCTGGGAGAATGTGCGGAGCCGTAATGGTACACTCTCTGGTTGCTGTCTCCAGATTTTAGAAGGACTTTCCTTGGCCTCTTAGTGGAGGCTTTCACGTCAGTCCTTCAGAGGTTCCTACACTCATCTGGAAAGCCATCCCGGGAACACGGACCCGAGTGCCTTGTTATACAATAACATACAGCTCCAGAAAGTGGCTTTGGAGAACTTAACACAGTGTTTTCTGCATCTTTTAGGCAAAAGCGATGATGAAGAAAGTCTTTGCAAGTCAGCCCACGGGGCAGGGAAAGGAGCCGCCGAAGACGGCAAAGACCATAAACGCCCCAAACGTCCCAGAACCATCTTGACGACCCAACAGAGGAGAGCATTCAAGGCCTCATTTGAAGTGTCCTCCAAGCCTTGCAGGAAGGTACAGGGGGAAGAAGGGAGGAAGGGGGACTGGGCCCCACTTTTTTGTGTATCTTGCCTTCCTCTGGATTGTCCGTGGACACGTGGGGGGTTAAGGCGTTGGGGGAGGCTGTTCAGATAGAGTCTGTGCAGGTAGCCTTGAGCCCTGCTGAAGGCTCCAGATCCCCGATCCCTTCTGTGCATGCATACCGACTTCGAGTGGCCACCAGCTCAGTTCACGGAGAGCAATAGGAAGAACAGCAGGTACAGTTATGGGGATGGACCCAGATGTTCTAACAAGGAGCGCAAAAATGGAGTGGTTCATAGACATATATTTATTTAGTTTTGGTCTAGTTTGTTCCACTTGGAGTGGTGACTTTGGGATTCATTGATGTCTTACTTCATTCATCTTTGTGGCTGAAGGGTATCCCCCGGTACGGGTGTGTCACAGTTTGTCCCTCCCAGGTCGGTGTGTGTTTGGATTGTTTTCAGTTTGGAACTGGGACAAATGAGGCTGATGTGAACTTTGGTGGTTTAATGAGGTATGAGTTTATTTTCATCTTATGTCGCAGTCCAGGGCTAAGCAGCCCAAGGTCAGCAGGGAGCTCGGTTACCTGTCACAGGGTTCATTCATGCCACCATCTTTTCCAGCCACCATGGTGGAGAAAGAGGGAGTAGAGAGCAGGCCTGCCCCAAGATTCTTCATAAAACTTGCACTCAGACATGGTGACCAGAGTTTAATCCCATGACCGCACCTCCTCTATGGGGGCTGGGCACTGAGTCGGCCTGGGTGGCCACATGTCTTGCTAGAGCTTGACTGGTGGTTAATGGGAAGAAGGAGAGAAGGGACACTGGGGACAGTCAGCAGTCTCTGCCACAGAGAGCTGCACCGGTTTATTAAGTACCCGCCATTTATGGATGGCCGCGTGCTCAGTCTTATTACTGATGCTATCCAAATAAGACAACTTTTCAGTTGAACCTCGTGGAGGAAACGCATTTTTGGAAAACCGAGCGTTGTTTTTCTCTATCTGTATTAGTCAGCTTTTGCTGTCATAACAAACAAAACCTTGGTGGCTTCCAGCGGACATCGTGTTCCTGCTCCTAGACTGTGGCTTGGCTGTGGTCCAGTGGGGCTCAGGTCCAGGCCTGCTCCACCTGTCTCTCTGGGGCTCCAGGCCAAGAGAGCACGCTGTTCCCGTGAGGATGGCAGAAGGCAGGAGGCCAGGTCATACTGGGCAAACCCACTGAAAGGCTCTCCTTGGATCACACATTCCGTATTCACACCCATCCCATGAGCCAAGACCAGTCATGTGGCTAACCCCAAGTGAGGCAGGGGAAGGCCTGCCTGTGGGTGCAAGGGAGGGAGGGGGCATGTCTGCTGAACTGACCAATAGTACAGTTTGCCATCGCACTTGACCTCCAGCAGACCTTTCTCTGCCTTCATACTCCTTAGACTCCAGGGGTGGAGTGGGGAGGAAGGAAAGCCCCAAAGTAGACTTAGGTAAGGACCAATGATCATCTCCTTCTATTATTACTAATTCTACACATTAGACTCCCAGCCTCTGTGCCTGGTGCTGGCGGCCAGGCAGCCTGCAGGCCACCAGCCAGTAGGGAAGAGATGTGTATGCACATAACATGGGGGAGAAAGCTGTGAGGACCATTACAGGGGGGGAGCCGGGAGCCGTGGGAGCCCAGGGAAGGGAAAGGTCACTTCTGTCTGGGGAATCAGGCAAGGCTTTGTGGAACAGGTGGCTTTTGAGCTGGGCCTCTGAAAAATGGATAGGGTTTCAGCAGGTGGAGGTGGGGTCGGGACACACTGCTATTTTAGTTGGCTTGGCAGAAGGATGTGTCTTAAAGATCTGGTTTAATCATCTTCTCCTAAGCCTCAGCCCACGTGGTGTGATGAAGGTGGACCACTTCCCAAGGCCCCCTGTGAGCTCTCTGCCCCCATGTTAGGCGTTTAACCCCATGTCCGCCCAGGATCTAAGCAAGAGGGCGGCGTCTTTCAAACTCGCTCTCAGAAAGTCTGAGCTTCTCAACTCTTCCCTTCCTGCCACCTTGCCCACCCCTCACTGTGTGTCTGCATGGAGGGCGGGTGTTGCAACCATCCTTCAGCATGGGGATCCCAACCGTCCTGTCTCTACAGGGCCACAGCACATGTGCTGGTCAGAGCTAACTGCTTTTGCTCTGCCTGATTCCAGATGGCTCTGGTCTCATGCTCCTTGAGTAGGGCTCGCTCAGGGTCACAGTGAATATGAATATTCATGAAGCCCCCAGAGTCACCTAGAGCTGTGAGGGACAGAACCAAAATGTAGGTCAAGGAACGGAAACAGAAGAGAACAAGAGAGAGCTGTTTGTATTGCAAAGTGGTTTTCACCCTCATTTCTCCTTGAGTAGGTCTGTATGTTGGCGTGGATCAACTCCGAAAGCATGATGATGGGTTTGCTAATGTTCAAAAACCACTTGGAAACCCATCTTGGAACACACGTCTAATGAGTTATTCCCTCCTTTGTTTACCTGGTGAAGGGCTTCCCTCCACCAGAAGGGAAGCAATGGTCTTGTGTCTGGGCTCACAGTGGCCATTAGACACTAGCCAGCTCCCACCAAGATGCGGCCTACTGGCTTCCCCATGCACTGCGTTGGGAATGTTCTTCCCCCTTTCTGAGATGCTGATGTTTCTCTGTTTCTAATGTTCCACTTTGTCAAGGTGAGGGAGACCCTGGCCGCAGAGACAGGGCTGAGCGTCCGTGTCGTCCAGGTGTGGTTCCAGAACCAGAGAGCAAAGGTAATCAGCTTCATACTGTCGTCTGTCTCTGTGTGGCTTTTTTCCCGAAATAGCAGTGGTAGGACTTACTACTTGAGGATGGGTTGTCTAACCAGAACTTGATGGATAGAGTAGTTCTCACGATTCAGAAATTCTGTTATGGGCAGTCATGTGGGCCACAGCTGCCCTGCTTGGGGGAGAGGCAGGGCATTTGTTTTAGTGAAATGACTCATTTTCCTGGTGGCCGTGACTGTGAATCTGGCCAGCCATCTGCTGGCATAAATGTCTTTTTGTGTTTTTTGGTAAAAATGGATTCTTTAAATCACCTTTAACTAACGCAGCTACCAAAGTTCTTTTAAAATTGCCAAGAGAACCTTCTATAGCGTGCGTGTGACAGCTCTGAGGCCATGTGGTAGCATGGTGGCACTAATGCCTTTACTCAGTGCCCCCCATGTACACCCCAACCGTCATACTGTCTTCCGGAGCCCACCAGGGTCCACATGGCTGCACCATAGTCTTGCGCTTGTCAAGTTTCCTGCCCCTAGAAAGGCATGTGGCCCATGGCCCATATGTCTGGGGTCCTAATCTGTAGAGGGTGATAACTTCCTATCTCATTATCTGATCATGATTGGTTAGGGTAGCACGGCGCTGCCCTAACTGAATTCTAGCAGAGCCCTGGGTACACACTCCATCCTGGGAGGACTCCATGTTTCCATAGGTTTGAGAGGCCCCGTAACCTCATGGCTTCCTAAAGCAGGGGAGTTTGAAGCTCTGAGAAATGCTGGCTTTTGTTAGGGTCTCACAGAACCCTAACGTTCCACTGAACACAGTGCAAGAAGTCGGGTTACAGTGCTCCTGCCGGGAGGTTTTGGTGGTACCAGCGCGCTCGGGGGATCGGCTCCTTACTCCAAGGCTGCGGGTCTGGCAGGCGTCTCGGACACCAGAGCCGGCAGATGGGGGAGGGGGGGGGGAGCAGCCTCCTGCCACGTCCCAGGTGCCACGCCATCAGCAGCCCCTTGCTGCACAGGCAGGCCCAGCTGCGGGCCCCACACCCCCACACTTACACCTCACTTGAAACTGTCACCACATAAGCAGCGACATTTCTCTGCTGAGAGGACATCCCCGTGTTTGTGAGGACTGATGGCTTCATGCTTCCCAGCCAGCTGACGGGCCCACGGTGTTAGAGGAAGAGCCCAAAACAGCCATGGGCAAATGCGCTGCTGGCTCCTCTGCTGAGCCAGAGCGGGGGTGTGGTCCCTCTGCTCTCCCCACGAGGCCCGTATGTCCCCGGCAGGGGCCTGCTGCTGGTCACCCGATCTAACCCCCTAACCCAGCACCCTCTCCTTGTCAGATGAAGAAGCTGGCCCGGAGGCAGCAGCAGCAGCAACAGGACCAGCAGAACACCCAGAGGCTAAACTCCGGTAAGCCGGGACCTTCCAGCCAGGCCTGCCAGGGTCCAGGCCTCGCCCATCTCACGGCTCTTGGTGGGAGGCCGCTTCTGGGCTCAGCGAAGCCCTGCCTGCACCAAGGGCAGTGGTCTTCCAGAGAGGATAGAGGCCCGGGGGCTGGGGGAGAAGGTCGAAGGCACAGAGCCAAGGTCTGGGATGCTGACTGATGTGGTCTGAGCCTTCTCCAGAGCCCCGGGGGCTCTGGCAAGACTCCCCGCAGAGCCCGGACACACCCAGATCCTCATCCTTCCCAGCAAATCAGTTGACAGAGGACACCACTGTGACCTATCCATTTCCTAAACAACATAAGACAGTAAAAATACTGTGAGTAAAACAGTAACCGCCTCCCTGGTTGGATACATTAATGTGTTCAGAGTTCAAAGACGGTTCTCACGCTGACCTGAGTCTGACACCCTCACACCAGGGAAACAGAGAAGTCCTTTGTCCCCAACTCACTGATGAGCAGACAAGGGGGACTGGGGTCCTTGCTGAGTAGGGGGTGAGTCAAGACCGGAGCAGACGTCTCTGAACCTCGGTTCCACTATGCCGTGCTGCCCCAACTCTCCCCTCCTGTATGCACCTTCATTTGCTCTTGTGGCTAATACGGCTGATGTGAGCACTGGGAAGGGAGTCAAGAGGGACAGCTTGTGGGACCTTTCAAGGGAGTTAAAAGAAAAAAAAATCAAATATAACTATATTATGACCATATCATTCTTTTTAAAAAAATTTTTTTTGAAGATTTTATCTATTTATTAGAAGGATGGAGAGAGAACACAAGTAGGCAGAGCAGCAGGCAGAGGGAGAGGGAGAAGCAGGCTCTCCACTGAGCAGGGACCCTGACGCGGGGCTCGATCCCAGGACCCTGGGATCATGACCTAAGCCAAAGGCAGCCACTTAACCCACTGAGCCACCCAGGCGCCCCGACCATGTCATTCTTAAAGGGCTCTGCTCCCAACAGCATTGTAGCAGGATTCCCTAAGGGATCTGCTTGTACCTCAAACAGGAATTGTCCGCTGTCAGTGTGCACAGAAATCACTTGACATGTGGTAAAGTACAGATTCTGATTCCTCTAGTCTGGGTAGGCCCTGAGATTCTACATTTTTAACAGGCGCCCACTACTGCTGGCCCGTGGACCACATTTTGAAAAAGGCCCTGACTCTGACATTGGCTTGCAGGCCCCTAGACGGGGCTCCTTGCCCTTTCATGATGAACCTGGCCTTGTGCTTGATACCTGAGCTCGGCTCAATGTAGAATCTGACTCCTGCAGCCCAGAATTGTCTTGGCTTCTCATCTTCTACACCAAACAGTGTCTTAACGTCAAGATAGATGCTCAGAGAGAGAAGTTCAGCAAGGACATGGGGACTGGGGAAGGTTGTTGGGGCAGGTTAGTCACCAGACCCAGATGCTGTCCCTGCTCCGCTCCCCGAGCTGTTTGATCTGGGACCAGCCTTTCTGCTTCCTGGCACCCCAGGCTGTCTGTCCCTGGAGTGGGATAATGACGCCTACCATCCCCGTTGCACTGGGCCCCCGGGAAGTTCAGAGAGGGTCACGGACATGGAGAAGCCTTGCATGTGGACTCTTACAGGCCAGCACGCTCAGGGGGTGGAGAACGCAACAAGGCGTTATGAGAACACACACTCAGAGTGCTTGAGGCTTTGGAGAACTCGAAGGGCAACTCTGAGGGTGAAATCCTAGGGCTGACGTAAGAAAGCAGAAGCTCATGGGAAGTAGAGTCTCTGAGAGCTCGTGGGCCGATGTTCAGAGAACCCCACAGCAGGATGTGGAGGCAGGACGTGTCCTCTAGTCTCCAAAACTTCTCTACACAAGTGTAGCAAGTTGTTCCAAAGCACGTTCACACGCCTCACGGAGTCTTGCTATCAGTTCCACAAGGTCAGCGGGGCTGGAGTCAGGAGCCCCACTGGACTGATGCGCTCCCAGTAGGGATGCTGGAAGGGTCTTTAGATCCATCCCCTCCAGGGGCTGCCAAACTTGTGTGTAGCATCAAACACCTTGGATTTAATGATGTACTTCGAAGAAGCTCTCCAAGTTCAACTGCACCTTCCCCATCCCTGTTCTCTGAGGATGACCCATGATGGCCCTTGGGGGGTGGGGCACAGGCTGGGAACCACTGATGTTGCCTCGTTCCGGACCATTTTATAAATGAGGAAACCAAGAGCCAGGAAGTGAAATGATCTCTCCATGCTCGTCACCACCTGGCGCTCACACCCTTGTGCCGTCCTCTTGGACGCTGACTAGGGCTGACCTAGGTAAGGTCACAACAAACATGGCGGTTTCTGCTTTGCGCTCTGCCCAGTTGCTGGCTCCGGGGAAGCCGGCTGCCGTGTGGCCGGACTGCTCAAGCAGGCCTGTGAGAAGTCTGTGTGGTGGGGTCACCACGGTGGGATGGCAGACGCAGCACGTCCCACTCCACGTCTGGGGCCCGTGGCATCACAGGCACCCGCCCCTCTCACTCCTCCTTCCAAAGTCGTAGCAAAGGCTGGTATTGGGTAGGGACACCGGGCAGCAGGGGACATGAATTTCAGAAGATGCTCTCAGCCTTCTCTCCCAGCACGGGATCCCGCGCTGCACTTGGAGAATGACCTGCCTTCTTCTCTGTCCCCAGCTCAGACAAACGGCAGCGGGAATGCTGGGATGGAAGGGATCATGAACCCGTACACGGCTCTGCCCACCCCACAGCAGCTCCTGGCCATTGAGCAGAGTGTCTACAGCTCAGACCCCTTCCGACAGGGCCTCACCCCTCCCCAGATGCCGGGAGACCACATGCACCCATATGGTAAGACAGACGCCAACCCCACAGGGACCTCTCACAACCTTCCCTCCCCAACACATCTGTGCGGTTCCCAGATCCTTACCGAAGCAGCCAGCATAGTACGTGCCCAGAAAATGCCACTAGAATCATGTAACCAGTGGCCGCAGAAGAAGGACCAGCACACATAGTCGTTTGTGATATTTCCATTCGCAGAAAGCACGTTTTCTCATTGAACGGATGTTACTTAGGGGCTCCAAATGAATCCTGAAGCGTGACCAGAACTGTGGCGTGAAAAGCAATCCCTGCCTGCTCTCAGCCCACCCCAGCTGGGGTTGCCTTTAGTGCCGGGCGTGAGGCTAGCTTAGGCTCCCCTACCCGCTCTGCTTGCTGGCTTAGCTGATGGTCAGCAGCTGCACCAGGGCACGCTGACGGTGTGGGCGAGCTCCGGAGTGGAGGGCTGAAGTTCAGTCTCAGGGCCAGATGAAGGTCACTGCGTTTTTATACGGAGAAGGTCAGTGGCATATGTGATGCATCTAATCTGGGTCATCTGTGATAAACCGCACTGATAGCTAAAAATACAGTTTTATTTGGCAAACCTTCAAAATGGCATTAGAGAGACATGGCTCAGCTCACAGATTTTTGTCAAGCAAATGCTTTTTTTTCCTTCATTAAAAAACGTGTTGAAGTGACCGTCGTCCTCCCATGTGATGTGTGCAGCAAACTGGGACAAAGATCCAGCTCTGCAGACTTCGCTGACCCTCATGCGGACAAACCTAGGAGCATCTGAGCAGATCACACGTGCGGAGGCTGAGAGGGAGATGCCTCTGTTCTTGTCACTGGGGTCCCCGAGCGATCCACAGCTGGCCCTCCCATCCTCTCCGTCCAGGGTGTAAACTAGCCCAGGGTGGGCCCCCAACACCGTCTTGCTTCTGCAGGACACACTCGCGGAGGTAGCGGACACTCGGTGTGATCTTGCTGTTTGAATGGACCCCTGTGACCCCGGAGGCGGCACGAGCCTCCTTCACAGCGCCCGTGTTGATATCTTCCCGATCCACCTTCAAGAACCATTTTGAGGGCTGAGTCCTCCCAGAGCCCTGCCCCGCCTCTCCAGGTGGAGGTGCCCCTTCCTGCCCACTCCCCAAACTCACCGTCTGGGACATTCTGACGTTTGCTTCTGCGGCACCCCATTCGGGCCTCAGACCTGTCCTAGTTTATACTGTTTTCTGTGGTTGTGCTTTCCGCTGGAGCCCACTAAGGCCCTGAGAGGTCTTCTGCAGAGGGATGGGGTCCCCTCCCTCCCACTCCCCTCCTAGCTCTCCCTCCACCCGCCCCACAGCATCCCGCTGTCTGCACTCCCCCGCATTCCTGATCCCAAAGGGAGTCCTTCTTCGGGACCCTCCTGACCAAGTCGTCTCCATTTCAGGTGCCGAACCCCTCTTCCACGACCTGGATAGTGACGACACCTCCCTCAGCAACCTGGGTGACTGTTTCCTAGCGACCTCAGAAGCCGGGCCCCTGCAGTCCCGAGTGGGAAACCCCATCGACCACCTGTACTCCATGCAGAATTCTTACTTTACCTCTTGAGTCTTCCCCTCGAGTTCTGTGGCTGGGCTCCCACCCAGAACAACCATAGGCCGCGAGGGGTCGGCCGGCGTTAGGATGGGGAGGCCAGGGAAGAGGTGGGCTGGGGAGGGAGTTTTGTCGGGGATGCTGTTATATTACGACCTGATGTAGCTCGGCATTTCCAAAGACTGAACACGTAACGGATCGCATAGTTTCACATTTCTGATAAGTCTTAGCTTTAGGTGTGAAGATGTGTTTATCTTTAAGGACAGGGACTTTTAATATAGACATTCTTATGCAAACTATAGGTACCTAGAGACTCCTAACAACTTCCCGCTCTTTTGGGGAAGCTTTTGTCAAGAGGTGCATATGTCTACCCATCCATATACCCATAGACGGACAGACAGACAGACAGATAGATGTGTGTGAGTGTGTAAGCTTCCATGCTTTATCATCAGAGTTTATTCCTAATTATAACAGACACCAACTGTACAGCAAAAGTAACTTTATTTTCAGTGTGAACTATATTTAAGGAAATGCTTGATGCACTTAAGTTATAAAATGAGATAATTTACTTTTATAAACTTTATTTTTAGTTTGAAGAGACTTGTCGGCAGGGCAGAGAGGGCCGCTCCGCCTGAGCCCGGGGCATCAAGGGCTGGAGCGAGTTCTCTTTTCAAGAGTGTCGTCGAGGTTCTTGCTCTCTTGGGGATTGAATCACGGGGCTTAGAGGGGACAGAAAAGTCCCTGAGCGTGTTCTTAGAAAAGGTAAAGCCTAGACTCTTCAGCTTTCTTTTCAGTTCTGACGTGTAGTTGTGGGCAGCAGTAGGAAGGTCAGTTTTGCTCTTGAACTTCAGCAACGGCCGGTGTGGGATGAGGCTGACACTATGTACCTACCTCACTGGGGGACGCCGAGGCTTCATTCACCTCCAGGACCTGTGAGCAGGGCTGGAACGAATAGCTGGTATTTGTCTAAAATACCAGACCAGCCACTTGGCAAAAGAGGCTCCCGGAGGGGGAGACGGTCGGCACCCTGTGCCCTGAAGGCCACTCTGCCCGCGGGGGTCCCTGATGCATAGCCTCGGCTGGGGAGGCCCGCTCAGGGCCGCTCAGGGGGCTGGAGTCCTGCCCTGGGGAGGAGGCTGTCGTTGAGGGGATGGAAGAGAGGGCATCGTGGTGTTCTAGACCAGGGGTCGGCAAAGTACGGCCCTCAGGCTATGTTTTATGGCCTGCCAGCTACAAATTTTTTTCTTTTTTTTACATTTTTAAAGGGTTGTTTAAAAAAAAAAAAAAAAAGGACTATGGGACAGAGCGTATGTGCCCCGAAAGCCTGAAATATTTACTACCTATGCTGTCTGGCTCTTTTCATAAGATGTTGGCTGGCCCCTGTTCTAGAAAATCTATTTCTAAACAGCCTTCTGGAGCTCAGAGAGGCGGCAGGGATCCAGGCGGAAACCCGGGCTGCTTCCTTCTGTCCTGCTGTTCGGACTTGGAGCCAGAAGGGCCGGCTGCCATCGTACGCAGGAGTCTGCACCCTGCCCTCCACTCGTGGTGCTAGGACCAGCTACTTCTGGGCTAGGAGGCCCCCTGGGAAAGCAGATGGGTCTCAGGGGGACGCCGCGGGGTCCGGTTGGACCCCTCTGAGAGGGGCCAGTCCAGGCTTGGCCTCACTGCCCAGGACGTACGGGGCCTTAGACCCTTGTCCCTTCACTCTCTGCAAAGGGGACGTGATCCCTTGTGGTAGAGTCTGTGTTGTGTGATTTTTGTGCTCATGTTTATAATTTATGCAAACCACCCAGAAGCCCAAGCCAGTCTGGGGAGTGGAAATCGTGCAGATGCTGTGGGACTCCGTGGGCTTCTGTGGCAGAGAGCTGGAGAACGTAGCAGATACTGTGTGAGTGAAAACAAATAGAGATCCTTCCTCCACGCGTAATGGCATACTGAGATGAAATTAAAAACCTCTTACAAATGAACTGTCGTTGATTCAGGGGCGGGGGGTGGGGGACCCGGAACCAGGGGGACACGGGTGTTTTGTCAACGGGGGTCTGGGGAGGAGCATAGGGCGAAGCTGAACGTGAAGGGAAAGCGACTCCAGCGAAACCTTCCTGCCTCGGTCTTCACGAACCCGGCTGAGGAAGGAGGCCCGGGGAACATTCCACCGGCACTGTCAAGTTCACTCGAGGTGGAGTGGTTTGCAGTGTGCGATGTGAGGACGTTTGCTTGGAAATCAGCAGGAGAAAGATGTCTCACCCGGGACCGAAGGGCGATGCCCGGGGCAGGATGGGGGAGCAGAGCCACCGACTGGAGCTTCTCCCAAACTCCACGGTGGCCTTCCATGTGGTGTCTGGGTGACTGTCATGACTATGAAGAAGAGAAGTGAGGGAATGGTAGGAATGAGTGCGAGACCAGGACACAATCCAAGGGCGGCGTCACTTCTGTGTGTCCTCTCGCCCGCTGGCCAGACCCTGTCCCCCCCCCCCCACCTCTGCTCACTCACCCTGTCAGAATCAGGCTCTGCCTCCTGCCAAGGGCCTGGAAGCAGAGAGAAGTGAGTTAGGAAGCCAGGCTGGCGGGAGGAGCCCTCACCCGGGCTGGCCCTGGTTCTGTCCCCAGGTTCCGCAGAGAGCCCCAGCCGGGGACCGTTCCCTGTCACCGTCTGCCCCACGGCTCCTTAGCCTTCAGCTTTGGCCTGCCACGTGGGGTGCGGGGCCTGTGTGTGGGGAACCCAGCCAGTGCTACCTGCTGCAACACCCCCCGATTTCCTAACCAAACAGTAGGAATTAATATTTTTGCTCACGTGAAGGACCTGGGGAGGAGTTTGAGGGCACCTCTATTCCCTTCCAAGATGTTGGCACCGATGGTTTTCTTCTTTTCTCTTTACTTCTTTCTTTCTTTTTAAATTTTTTTCTTTTCTCGCCTCTTCTTTTTTCTTCTTTTCTTTTCCTTTCCCCTTCCTTTTCTTTCCTTTCCTTTCCCTTCCTTTCCTTTCCTTTTCTTCTTCTCTTTTCTTTCCTTTCCTCTTTTCTTTTTTTTCCCCTTTTCTTTCCTCTCCTCTCCTCTCCTTTATTTTGCTTTCTTTTGTTCTTTTCTTTTGTTCTTTTTTTTCTTTCTTTCTTATGGCTCAGAGTTGGCGCACACGGGGTCTAAATCCCAGTCCCCTCCCCCACCCCCTGCTACCTGCAAGGTCAAACTGGGTGGGTTACTTCCCTCTCCTGAGCCTCTCACTCCTCATGCATGGCACAGGTATGGTGCTTGTCCCTAGCAGAGGTGACAAGGTCAAGTGAGATGACACAGGCAAAGCCCGGAGCCCTTCACTGGGCACACAGCGAGTGTCCAATGTGTGGCGGTGGCTGCGCCAGGGGCCGGGTCTACTGCTGGGGTTCGGTTGTTGATGCAGGGCTAAGGCGGTCTCTCTCCGTATTTGAGGAAAAAGGAGAAAACCCTCTGGTTCACCTGGGTGCCCCCTGGCATCAACATAATCACTTCTTATGTAACTTCTTTAAACCTCGGTGTGGGTCTTAATATAGCCTGACTCAGTTGTGGGAGAGCTGGGTTGGTTGGGTGGTTGGTTTTTCAAAGGCAGGCAGATAAAATTCCAATTCCAAGGACACACCATGAACTCTGCCCCCTAAGGAGAAGCCGCCAGGTCACAGGCGATTTCTCTAGCCGTCCATAGTCAGCTCAGGGCTGAGGTGAGAGGGAGTCCCTGATCCATAGTCTGAGCCTTTTCTGAGTGGCATGGTTTTGAGTTGACCTGACATGAATCAAAAATGGGAAGAAACTGGAATTAATTTGTCAATTCCAAACCCAAAGACACATTTCTAAGGGCTCTGCGAGGGAAATCCAAGTGTCTCTCTCTCTCTCCCTTCCCCACCCTCCCAGTGCAAACACATTCAGTCCAAACTGGATACAGACAAATTCAACTAGAATTAAACCCGATATTACATTGTTTCCTTGAGTCCCTTTGTCTAGCATGTTGCAACTTGTTCCATGACCAGTCCAGAGAGTTCAAAACAAGGCCTCCTTGAGCTTACAGGCCCTGTCCACATGGGGGGTGGGGGAGGACTGGGGGTCCCTGGCCCTATCTGAAGTTCCCAGGATGTGTGACTTTGACCAAGGCTCTGGGCCTCCATTTCCTCATTTATAAAATGGGGCCAATGATGCTCACCTGTCTTACAGGTTGGTCGTCATGAGTCTCTAAGGAAACAGGAAAGATCTCAGTAGGCCGTGGACCGCTGTACAAGTAGCAGGGAGCCTTGGGATCTTGTCCCAGGAGGCGCATGCAGATGGACAGCCTGGCACCCTGTGCATTGCTCCTGCCTGGGTGGGTGCCCATGGCAAGGAACGGGCACTGTGGATCTGAGGGAGATCATTTCTTTCCTGCCCCAGCTGCTGTGGGTTACTGCTGCCATGGCCTGATGGGCCTTCTCCCCTCCTGGGGAAGGTTCTGGGGGGGGGGGGGAGCCTACGGTGGCCTCTAGTGGCCAGTGCATTAGGTCACCTGTCTGTACCTGCAGGCTCCCTCCGGCACCCCACGTGCTTAGGAGGGGAAAGTGGGGCCGGCCCTCAACAGGGATGCCGCTGGCCAATACGCCTCCGTTAGCACCTCATGTGTTCACTGAATTCATTCCACAAGCATTTGCTGAGCACCAAGAATATGTCCTACCCTGAGCCGTAGAAATAGGATCGAGTGGAAAGAGCTGTGGGCCCCACTCTCCCGGAGATGACAGTCGGGGGGAAACGTGAAAGAACTGAACTTGCCTTGTATCAAGAGCCGCAAAGGAGGGGCACCTGGGGGGGTTCAGTCAGTTAAGCGTCTGCCTTTGGCTCAGGTCATGATCCTGGGGTCCTTGGATCGAGCCCCACATGGGGCTCCCTGCTCAGTGGGGAGCCTGCTTCTCCCTCTGCCTCCCACTCTGCTGCTCTTTCTCTCTCTCAAATAAGTAAAATCTTAAAAAAAAAAAAAAAAAAAAAAGAGGCACACAGGAAAAGATGTAGGACATTATAGGACTGCAGATCCC